AAATCATTAGTAAACGAAGCATTAAAGGCGGGAAAAGGGGCCCACCTTAGTTATAGTCCATGAAATTGAACCCGTATTTTGTTTGAACGACGTCAACGGCTCAGTTCCTTTGATATTTTTGAAAAAAGCCTTACATGTGACTTGATAAAGAACATTTAATAACCTTTATTTTGCCGCAAATCGCGTGGGTACCGATATCTTTCGTTTTTGCCGACTATTATCAGCAACCATTTTATTATTATTTCTTATAGAAAAGACATTTCATGCCAAAATAATTTGTTTTCAGTTATAAAGCCAAAAAAAAGTTCTACGGGAAGTTCAATGTAGAGATACAAGAAATCTGACCTTATTGGATATTGGTAAGATTGTCGGAACACTTCTCGTTTGTCTGTCTGCTTCTAACTCATTTGAAAAATGATGCTTGGGACAGTTGAAAAGAGTACCTACCATCCCAGGCAAACTATAACACGCAAATCGATTACCAGCATACCTATGATCTGACGTTTCTTTGGAACTTCAAACTTTAAGGAGTCCGAGGTTGCCAGAAGACGTTTGTAAGTCTAAGGGATATATCTGAGTTAAACATTTTAAACCAAAAATAATTCCATTCTAGGAGCCTAAGGGAAGGGGGTAATACTCTGATTATTTTTGCTTTGATCGACACTGGAATTATAAGTCTTAACGGCGAGGAAATTTGACTTTGACTAAATTGATGATATATTGCGTTTTGATGAATTTTGAAAATCTAAATTCAAAGAAATAAGGGTTCCAAATAATTCCTAATATTCTGATTGTTTCATCATTAGGATCTGACATTGACATAAGAAAAATCTCTTGATCTTTGTTAACTTGACTATTGAAAATCCGTTGTGTTCATTATTAAAGAACAGAGTGATGTATGATGGACTCCAAAAAGTTCTCCACTTAAGGGGAATAATGTAAAAAAGATTATCACAAAGACATCCATTCTCCCAGATTTGTAAAAATCCACTCTTATGTTATTGATTTCTATTTATCCGATAAATTGACCATATGTTATGATTTCTTAAGACAATTCACTGATTTATGTTTTCCAGTAAACACATGATACGGTAATTTATATGACCATATGTTCCAAGTCCAATAAAGCCTATTATCATCTAATTCATCGCCACATGAAAAGGCATTATTGCACGAACTATGGCGCACCACATTTTCATCCGAAGCATTTTATTTATGCAGTAAATGCTTATATTATTATCTGCATCGGTTGAGTTCATTGAACGGGTCTTTGAATATTTTATTATTACGCAAGAACTCAAGACATTCAGAAATATTTTTACGCAATTATATTTGTTTTATGGCGAACGTGAAACAATTTATATTCGAATCGAAGCATTTTTATATTCAACTTTTCCAGTTATGCGGAAACAATAATCTAATTGGATACATTCCCTTTTTTCACACTTCAAGGTTTACCGTGCCATCTGTGCGAGCAACTAGAATTTTATGATTGGATCAATTAATTATCCACCCTACAGAGCGAATGATATCGCCTTTAGTCTCCAAGGATCTAGCTTAAGTCTCTCTTGGGTTTTCATGTGTTTAGAATTGATCCAACATAACAATAATTAAATTATTGATATTCCTCCTAAATTATATGTGAAGTCTTTACTTTGAAAACTTAACGAGCAAAAAAAATGTTTCGGTGACACTGTGACAGATGCTTAAGTTTTTTAAACATGCACCTCATTGGGATCTAATTTTAAATGCCGAACTCGTTCTCCACAAACATTGACCCACTCCGAAAATAACGTCACACAATGAGCTTTATAATATGCATGATTAATTAAAGCGTTGAAAAGTATGGGTGTGAGTGCTTTATTTCAATAACCTTCAGTGACAATAATTAAGTTTACTTTGATTGTTCTGGACTTTTACCATAATGCTTGGGGTTTTTTAAAATTTTATCGATTGTCTATTTATAGTCGATTCGCTACCGAAATAATTGATCTCCCATATAAGAAAACCGCTACTTTTAAGCATAAATTGTACTCATCCTAGAAAAAAGGTCTCAGACTCATTTGCATTGGGTCGATCTTAATTATTGGCGTTGCATAATGTAGGCATTTGGCACAAGAGAATAAGAGTTTATTAGGGTGTATTGACTTTTTTAGACAATACAAAAAAAAAATTACCACACTCGACTCAAGAATTATTCCAATTGGTAATTAACTTTCGTCTTCTGTTGATATTGATATCCCATAGAGCTATTTTCTAACTCAACTGTTAGAATGATGGGTTGTATTTGTTCTTAAACATGTTTAATTGTCACATCTTTTTTTTTTTCTTTCATTATACGTTCTCCATGCATTTTTCCAATTCTAAATTTTGAATCGCTTTTTGGAAAATTTGGGTAAAATCACTAACTTTATGTATGTGACATTTCGAGTGGCTATAAGTATTAATCCTGCTTTTTTTCCTGTTTCAGGAAGAGACTTTTCAATGTCTTTGTCGGCAATAATCCGTTGATACTGCTTCTCTTGAATGCATTATCAAGCACTATAATAATTGAGCTATTTATTTCTCGTTCAGATAGAGGTTTTATTCCTGTAGCCTTCTAAATAGGCTTGCAGTCAACTTACAATAATTTTAATCTGGTTTAATTTTCTTCAAATGTATGGGACATATTTATCTCGGTTCCATCTTAATGATCTTGGAACATTTTCAATTATTTGGGGTGTTATAAAGATTTTATAGGTTTCTGTCAGACATCATTGTTGCGAGTGTTTGAGTATTGTTTATGCACTTTTCTGTATTAGGTACGATTCTTACTTCTCTGGATGGAAACAGTCAACAATCTTTCCGATTTTCAAATCTGAAATATCTTTGAGAACTATAAAGGAATCTCGCTGGTATCAATCATATTCAAACCAGTGAAGTCTATTTTCATCCCAGACATGCAAAGAAATCAGGAGGGGAGCAGCATGAGGTTATTAAGGGAAGCTCAACTGTACCGAATCCTGGTGAATGTCAACAGTTTCTCACTGAGTGTCGCTCAGTAAGAAATGCTGACATTCACCAAGAGTGAAGATGTCTTATAGATGTTGTTGTTGTTGTTGTTGTGATGTCTTATTCTTGTCGTTGAACTGTTGATGAGCTGTTGTTGTTGTTGTTGTTGAGATGGAGGACACCAAGCAGGCTACCAGGTTGATACAATTTACATAGATTCGTCCAAAACATTCGATAGTGTAACACACAACCTCTTATTAATCAAATTGTAGAAGACTGGAATCGATGGAAGACTTTTTGAGTGGATTAATTAAAATGGACTCGAGTTGGAAGATTTTATGGGTAATTCAGGTGGACCTCTGGACAAGTGCTGTTTCTTATGTTTATTGACGATGTTGTGGAATAATTAAGATCATCCAAATGTCTCCTCTATGCAAATGGTCCCAATCTTTGGGGAGGTTTCAAAGATGAGGTAACAAATGTTACCAAATCTCTCAACATGAAGACTTAATTTGTTGATAGCGTAATTCAAGCTAACTGTATGTTAGGATTTGTACCTCGTACTTTTACTTCATATTCTTAATGTCGAAAAATTGAAAACTATTTACAACTGCCTGGTGTATTGGAGTACCACTACATTGTCTGGAATCTCTGCTACAAATCGCTTAGTCGTGCATTGGAACAATTTCAGCACACCTTCTTCAAATTCATCCTGCACAAGTAAGGGTTTCTGACAGAAAACTTTGGAGGAACGAGGACCCTTAGCCAAAGCTATTTTCCTTCATAAACATCAGGTCAATTATCTCAAAGGTCTAAACTTCCATAGATCATCTGGATGCACAAGACCAAAACATATTTTTGGGAAGAAACGTCAGCGAACAAATTATGACTCCTCAAACTTTTCTGAATGTTCGTCAACTTAGGGAGGCAATTTGGAACAATCGATCTGCCACTATATCAAAAAATGGGCGTTTGATTAATAGTCATGTCAGACTACAAATTTTGCACTGAATATTTTTCTTAAAATAAGCTTAACGAGCAAGATTTATGATTTTTTTTTTCTCACTTACATTTCTGGAAACAAAGCCCGAAAATATTGGCTGTCGACGTTTACATGAGCTCTAGAAGGGGATGCCAAAGTGGCCCCGTTGCATGTCTGGTCGTCAAGGCAACCCCCGCATCCAATTATTCCAATGCTGGGATCCCCCTTTCTGATGGTTGTTCGGATTAAGTTTTGCTACTCTAAAGTTATTCTGGCTGGTTTAAAATCTAATCCCAAACTGATATTTCCGGCATATAGAGCTGGAGGTAAATCCGATAGATATTTTCCAAAACAAACCCAAACCGCGTTTGATAAAATATTAATGATCTTATATATTTTTGATAGAAAATATTTTGATAGTCTACCTCCATTTCCATACAATCAATTTTTAATGAATATTTAAAAGGCATTGTAGTATGTTCCAAAATATTTATATTGCTACTGACAGTTCCATCAGCTGCTACTGCATAAAGCACCTATTTCTGACTTAGTAACAAAATAAATTCCTTTGAGAAATGTTTAAAATAAACTTAGCAGTTGATTGGGAAAAGTTGGCAGTTATTAGTGTGTGTTTTGATATTGTTTTGAATATTTTCGGTTTCAAGATCGATATTAATTTCTATTTGACAAAGGGAATTTTTGGTAAGATTCTTATTATCATTAATACTAATTATCATATTATATAAGTATATATTTCTATATAACCAGTACGGTTTAGAATATTGTCACTTTAATCTCGTATGTAAACTTCATAAATATCAATCAAAATATAATGCAACTAATTGCAAGTCAACACCCACTACTATCAGCCAATCCCCAACTCTCATGAAAAATTTCGGTGAGCGGTACACTTTTCCAATTTGATCTGTTAGGTTGTAGCATTTTCAAATAATTCTTCATATCTCTCTTTGTTTTACCATAAATTTCAAAATAATACAAACAATAAAATTTTGTATTGGGTTTTCAGCTAAAAAACAAAATGGTTCCGCGTTCAGGACGAACAGCCTCGGTAGTGGAGCCAGAACACCACCCACCGAAAGGAAAGGGAAATTTTCGTTAGGCAAATTACTGAGGCCGTGGAAATGGAAGCGGAAAAGAAAATCGGATAAACTAGAGGCTGTGTCTAGAAGTAAGTACTTGAATCCTTATTTAAACATGACAAAATATTATTGAAAATAATTTGCGTTGGCTCAATGATGGCTTAATTAAATACCTCGTGTTTTATGTTTGACATGATTAGCAGATGGAACTTATACTAACTTCCTGTGCAAGTGTTCAAACATCTCGTAAAATGTTTTAGGAGGATGAAGTGTGCCCTGACCTTTTAATGTTTAAAATAGAACCAGTTCATAAAAACTGACTATTATTAGTACAGCAGGCCGAAAGTAGGTACAATAATTATTGTCAGTTTTTTGTGAACATTGAGCTCAATGAGGGGATAAATTTTAATGAATGTATAAAATGCATATGGGAGAGTGAATAATATGAATGTTTGTTTTATAGGATGCTTTTAGCAATCCTTTCAATTTGTGAATAATTTAGATAATTTGAAATTGGGATTCCTTAGTAGACTAAAATAATATTCCAGGAAAATAGTAATGGATATTTTTATAAAATTATGCCAAGGCTGGGGATATTTTTGTAAATAAATTGCAGCTGAGAAAAATATAGGTATTTCTTTGCACAACAACATCATTTTTGAAGAGCATATTGAGAAATTACCATAAACTGAATAAGAGTTTGAACTAGAAAACTTCTTCGAAAAACAAAGGGACACTTTTTCATTTAATTTTTTGAGATGATCTCATTCAGTATGAGTCAATAAATATCGTTTAAAAAAAGCTCCATTATTGCCTGTAGTTCTGCCTGAGTTGGTTATACATTATGGCAATATTTATTCAAGAATATCCCTTATGAGTATAAAGCTTGAAGTTTTCCATTGCGATGAAAATAATTGGTGATCGGAAATTTTCCGCCAAGTTTCTACTTTTTTTATTGTACCACAGTATACTTATCAAAGGAAAACACCCATGACAGGGCAATTAACAGCGAAAATCCAATGGCAATGTCTACAGGTTTGGCAAGTGAACATCTTATGGGCCAATTTTAATGCAATTGATTGATTTTTAAGGGGAGCCTTTACAGGCAGCACATGGACGCGCATGTAGTCCCCTCTTGGTGCAGCCCTGTCTTACCTTAGGAGCCCGCAACTGTTAAGAAAGATGCAGACCCGCTCAGGCCGGACATGCTTTATTTCATCAGGTTCCAGAAAACTGTACCCGAGGTATCGTAGTCTGCGACTGACGAGGGCGTCATATTCGCAGACTATATGCTGTATCCGGTCAGGACGCCTGTGATAACTCCTATTTAGTTTTAGGAGGCTTTTTGCCTCTTTGCAGTTTGAAGGACCTTGTATAAAGGTCCTTGACTGTCTGAGGCCTTTCTGTTCCAGCCATTCGTCTTGGAACCGGTTGTTGGACCGGTTCCTGATCTTGGATTTGACCAGGCAGGAAGCAACCCCAAGAGCACGCTCGGGCCCAATAAAGGCAGTTTTGCTACCTTCACGAGCCAGCTGGTCTGCCTCCTCGTTGCCTTTCATGCCCCTGTGACCCGGGATCCAAACAAGGGTGACCTTGTTGAGCCCACTGAGTAGCTTGAAGGTTGTTATACAGTCAAACATGATTCTCGAGTTTACCTTGTCTGAGACAAGGGTTCGGAGTGCTGCCTGGCTGTCGCTGCATATATAAATATGCTGGCCCGAGTAACCTCTCGGGAGATTCTCCTGAGCACATGCCTGTATGGCGTAGATCTCAGTCTGGTATACCATTTGATATTGACCCAGTGCAAGACTTATTCTCGCCACAGGTCTCTCCCCATATACACCAGCCCCTGCAACCTCCCCCGTCAGAGACCCGTCTGTGTACCAGATGAGCCGCTTCGGCTTAAGATAGCCTGGGTCGGGCTCTAGCCAGTCGTCCCTTGCAGGGATGACAACCTTGTATTGTCTAGGAGGGGCTGAGGTTTTTGGCATTGCATCCTTTCTGGTAAGAAGGGGGTCCTGCCTGATGGTGTCAGTCCAGGCCCTTGCAGGTCCCATACTCAACCCTCTGTGAATCCATTGTCCCCAATAGTTGAGTCTGACAGAAGCCTCCCAAGCCCAAGCCTCCCAGGCATTATGCCCAGTATGGCCTCCATCGCTAACGTTGAGATGGTTCTAAAGGCTCCAATTGTAGCCATGCAAGCAAGTCGTTGGAGCTTGTTCAGCTTTGCCCTGTAGGTGGATTTGCTAAGCGCGTTCCACCAAACTAAGCTGCCGTACGTGATCATTGGTCTTATCACTGCTGTGTAAAACCAGTGGACTATGTGGTAAGCCCCGGGTGCGTCTGATGGATCTTCTACACGCCCAAAGGCTAGCAGTGGCTCTCTGGACGATCCTGTTGATGTGATCTTTCCATGTCAGCCTGGAGTCATTGATGACTCCTAGATATTTGACCATACCGGATGGAACAAGTCTCGATCCAAAAAGAGCGTGAGCCCTTCCAGGTCTACGTTTCTTCGCTTTGTAAATGGTACTACCTCGGTCTTGTCCGGATTTACCGAAAGCCTGTGATTTTTACACCATCTTTCTAACATGTTAAGAGCTCTTTGCATGATCCCTTTTATAGTGCTGGGCACCCTATCAGTCACAACGATGACGCGATCGTCTGCATAGCCTTGAGTGTACATACCTTCCTCGTTCAGAGTGCGGAGCAGCCCATCCAGTACCAGGCACCACAGCAGAGGCGACAGTACACCTCCCTGCGGGCAGCCCTAGCTACGGCTGAGCTGATCTTCGCACTACCAATCGAGCTTGTAATGATTTTGCTTTCCAGCATGACACAAATCCATTTGACAATGGTGTTCTCTATGCCAAAGCTTTCTGCAGCATTTTTTATAGAGTCGAATGAGGTGTCATTAAATGCCTCTTCGATGTCTAGAAATACACCCAGAGCCATCTCTTTATGGGACATCCCTCGCTCCAGCTTTACCACAAGACTGTGGAGAGTTGTCTGTAGGGTGCATGGGCATTGTTTTCAATGCCCCTTTCCTGATGAATGTGTCCACCAGTTTCTCTAGCGTTTTTAGAAGAAATGAAGAGAGACTGATAGGTCTGTTATCATTAGCCGATTCGTAGTTATAACGTCTTGGCTTGGGGATAAATACCACTTGGACCTTACGCTAGGAATGTGGTACTTGACCATATGCAAGGCAGGCCCTGAAGAGGTGTATTAGGTGCGGAGTCAGTAATTCCATCCCCATTTGTGAAAGAGCCGGAAAGATTCCATCTGGTCCCGCACTCTTAAAATCTCTAAATGAGTGGATGGCCCATCTTCCGGAGTTTTCTGATACCACCCTCGCAGCTAGCTTCCAGTCAACTGGCCTTGCGCCAGCTTGTGGAGCGTGCATTGGTGGTTCACCAGTTTGCAGGATTTCAGAGCCCGGAAAGCGTGTTTCTGAGAGCCAACCAAGTGCCTCCTCTGCGGTAGCGCTATAACTACCGGAGGGAAACCTTAGTGACCTCAGCTCTCGTCCTGGGTCTTTCGAGAAAATCTTTTGGAGCTTGGCGGCAGCCGGAAGCTCGTCTACGTTTCCGCAGAACGTCCTCCACGATTCTCTAGATCTTTTTATAAGATTTTTGTATCTGCGGTGGTGGTACGCTTGTGGTTGTTTCAGTCATCTAATGATTTAGACCGTATGGCTCTGTTAAAGAGCCTGCTGGTTTCTTTACGAGCCTTGTCGAGGTCGGAGCTCCACCAAGGGGCTTTTTTCTTTCCTCGATAGGTCCGAAGCTGACAGATTCGTTCATACGCATTGGTGATTGCGTTGCGTTGCGTATGAATTCGGCTGTTTCATCCATTTGCCTTGCGCTGCAGCATGGCGTGGGAAACTAGTTTAGCCCTTAGGATCTCAACGTATTGGTCACAGTTCGTGTTCCGGGGGTTCCTGAACTTACTGGGCCCAGCCTTCTGATCAAGGTCCAAGCTGAATAGAATGTGTCTGTGATCCGATAGGGACGGTTCGTCAGACACTATCACCTCTTGTCTACGCGAAGTGACAAATGTCGGTGCGTTGCCACGGTTCAGGATTTCTAAATCCCTGCTGTGAAGGTATTCCAGAAGACTGAGCCCTCTCCGGTTTGTGTTGGTGCTGCCCCACACCATGTGGTGTGCGTTGGCATCGCATCCGACAATCAACGGAAGGCCCACTGAGTTACAATACTCCACCAAATCGATGAATTTCCGTGTTGTGGGATCATTCATCTGTTGAGTCATAGGGCAAATAGGCCGAGCAAACTACTATCGATCTGCTCTGTCTCAGTCTGTCCTTGAGGCATAACTTTACCGCTACTAGGTCTCTAGAGCAGAAGTTAGCAATTAGAGTTGACTCGATCCGTCTGTCGGCATAGATGCAAGTCCTTGGGTCCAGTTGGAAGTTCCTCTTATAGAAAAAAGATCTTTCCACTCTGCCTAATCTTCTTACGCGACCCTTGTATGCCCAAGGTTCTTGTAGGAGGTATATGCATGCAATAGAATAAATAAATATCTAGAAAAAGTCTAAGATTGAATAGAGAACGAAAACGATTTCCCCTGTCCCACCTCCAGCATTCCTCTCTCTCTCAAGACAGCGTTTTCTTGGGTCCTCGGGCCAGTGAAAGGAGAATCTGTTAGAGAACGCTTTTTCTCTGTCCTTATTCCACTGAAGCCTTTGCCTATCAAATAGCCATATCTTTTTATGGCACTGGAAATCTCCACATGTAAGACGTTGCGTTGCCAACCGTGTATAAGGAAACTGGAAATTTATCTGAAAGTAATGTAGAACAAATACAGAAAAAAATATGCAAGACCTTTGTTTTACGAGGTGAAAAATCATGTGGGATTTCTTTGAAAATATGCAATTCCAATAAGCAAAAAAAAGCTTGAGACACTATAAACGCAGGGATCTTTTTTTCTATATAGAAGCTTCTTCCATCATTTGATAAATATTTCCCGCAATTCCTCAAACTTCCTTCAAATTTCCCTCAATTTTCCCATAGTCGAGGAAAACTGTCTTACCACAATTGCCAATTTGAGATTGACAAAACTTTAAAATAACATAACATACATGTTCCATAGCTGTTGAAGATAAAAAGAATGAAATAATTACACAAAAACGGGTAAACTTTCATACTCAACACAATGTAATGTTGACAACCAGACACCATCTACTATCAAATTCCTCTCTACTTTACCTTCCCAAGAACTTGACCATAAACATAAACTACCTGTAACAAAGAATATAATCCGACATAGACTTTGATCCGACCTATGTTCAAAAATCCAAATTCAGTTTGTTTGTTCTGGTTTGTACTAAACCGCCCAGTATAATAAATTAAACAAAGGTATTATGACACGATGTAAATTATTACTCATTTGGATCGTTTTGCCAATGTTCTTATCAGTCAAAACCACATAAGTTAGTCACATTTTCCTTACAATCTATAAATATACAATTATTGCTAATAAATATTATTAATGGCATGTATATATCGATACCATGATAACTAAAATATTTTTGTATCATGACTAATTAATACAAAAAATCTGATTGATTTTTTTTAAATTTTTGCAGCTTTAGAAAGAAAAATATCAGTCCGAGCCAATAGAGATGAGTTAGTGTCGAAGGGGATTCTATTGCCAGAAAGTCCATTGTCCCCTCCTAAATCCGAGCCAGGTTAGTAACAAAGATCATTTTCAAATAAGACAGGTTTCTGCTTTAGTATTGATTACTGTAATGTGGCGCAATCTAGACGTGAGAGTCAAAAGTTACTGAGGGTGTAAGAAAATCAATAGATAGGATTTTGTCAATGTCAATAATGAGATTTCCAAAATTTGAGGCAGGTTTGCTATTCAAAATTAATCTGAAGAACTATATTTGTTTGTTTTTATTTAGCCAAAACGTATTGGAATATTTAGGATTCTAAAGGTTGCTCACTTGAGAGCATTTTTGTTTATTGAATATCCAAACATTATTAACTTAAAAGGAGTAGTAGGTACATATATGGAGTAAATGAAGTTATTATTTTCAACAGAATCTTTCATAGTTTATAATACCACAACCGTAATTTTCTGAAAAGATTAATGCAAAAGTATCTAATACCGTTTCAAGCAGGCATGGTTACCGCCTTGTTATTAGAGTAACCTAATTTTTTAGCAATAATTGCTATTCAGGCTTATTATGGGCATAACGTGTGTTTGCGTATATATCGTTACAAGTATCCACAACTGAATAGTAAATAGGTAACTATTTTTACTATGCACACCTTCATTATATTATTATGAATTACAGTTCAATTTCTTATTATTAAGTTCTACTTAATCAAAATGAAGACTTAGTTAAGTCCTTGGGTCAAATCAATCATCGTCATAAGAAGATATTATGTAAATCCTCAGAGACATATAATTTTATTTTTATATTAAGTTAAAAGTTCTCAAAGTTGGACAGCATTCTTGTCAATACTACTTGCTATTGACTTCAAAAATTTTAGAAGATGCTACATCAAATTCTTCATGAACTAGCTTGGAGTAGAGGACTACCTATTTGTTTTCAAAGTTATTATTTTACTTTAAAACTTTTCAATAAAGTCGTGCCAAAACATCTAGTTATGAAGTTAGAGCATTTCTGATCAGTATTGATCAAGTTTGTCATGAGATACTTAATAAATTAGGTTGGTTGTGTTTAACAGATAGTATAGGTACCGATCTTACAGTCATCGTCATGTAAATCACTTGACCCGAGAAGGTGACATCCCAATAAAAATCAGTTTATAGAAAGTTTTCTGGTTTTATTTTCGATTGAAATATGTTATGCTGTTCTGAAATATCACAATTGAAGGGAATAAAAGCGTAAAAATATCATGTCAGTTTAGCACGTTGTTTTTCCCTATCAGACTATTGAAAATCTCACTGCTCTATATTTCAGGTTTCGAAATTTGATTGGCATATTTTTCCCATTTCAGTTTCTTGATTATACTAATATTTATTGACGTTCAATCTATGGAAAAATTTCCAAGGTATAATATTCAATATCAAATATTTTTATTTGCATCACGTATTTGAAAATAGTCTTTGTTTCCGATCTCGATTTTTATAACCTACTCTTGCCAAATGAATCGTTTCCGTTTATAAATCTTGGAAACCGATCTAAACTGGAATAATTAACCCTTAAATCACGTTATCATTATTAAATAAATGAATAGATAATGCAAAAAAAAAAATTATTAACTAGATAAAAATTAATGTAATAGGTAATTTATCAATTTAATATCAATAATTTTATTATTATTTAATCTATATAGCATAAATATTAATTGGCTTTAAAACTACGACGGTATAATTATGCATTAATTAATAATTGTTAGATTTTGAAATAGTAAGATTTCTTTCCAAAATGGGTGAGTTATCCTTTTGTTCATTTTTGAATATTGCATTTCCGTTCATTATCGCTTCAATAGATACCTACTATTGTTATACTTACATTTGATTGAGACCCGTGTCTAGCTTCAATTGCTGTTAAGATTTTGAAAGACAAAAGTCGATTTGTACTATTATCAACAAAATTATACTAGACGCTTTTTCATTTCCTCTAACAGATTACTGAATTGGATAAAGGACCAATACAATTTTAAAAGCGACTGAGTTTGACATTCAATAAAGAAACGGCAATCGATTTCCGTTTCCGGGACTAACTATCCATTCAGAAATTGGGATTGGTCTACAGGGCCTAATCTTGTTTTCAACTAAAAATCGTACCTGGCAATTTATATTTAGAGGCGCAAAATATACCTGATTTTACAAACTCTATACACTAAATAAAATAATTTGAGTGTTGATAGAGTAGTTTTCGGGAAGTATAAAACACCAGAATAATGTACCTACTGAATTTGGAAAATTTATCTGCTTTAGTTTTCCATAAATTCTAATAAAACGTTCTTTCCAAAACGATTTATGGATTCGTTGGTGTACATTAGGTTTTTATGAAATTTTTTTTTCCAAACTAAAACTTAAAACTTTTTTTTTATAAATTACTATAATGTGTCCGTCAAAATAGCACTTAAAGCCAAACTGTCAAGAAAAAATTAAAGCTACTCATTCGTCTTCAACCAAAAAGTGTCTGTAAAGTATCAAAATTGATTTAAGTATAAGAATTTTCAAGAGTGTGTTAAGTGGAGCATATCAAGTCCTTCGCACCATCTTTTATCGAAAAGAGCAGACTTTTCTCATAAGAAAATTTATTGAGTGGTTTTGAATTACTTTTTGAGTTCAATGATGTATTGATAGGAATCGCTATTAACTTACATAGTAGGCATGAATGGGTTATTTATTATGCTACAATATACAATGACACTTGCTATTGATATCAACCATTAGGAACTGTTAGCATGACATTATGGCATGTTGAATATTTTGACGTAACATGATATCTTTGCACCAAAAAACGTGCGGTGCATGCCATAATATCTTATGCTAAGAGTTATGAGTACGCACCCTGACATCATATCATTTTAGGTGACTCAATTCCATCCCCATATTTTCCTTCACTGTCCTCATCCGCCCACGGTGGGAGCGACCACAACAGCCAGCCTAATAGCCTGACGACGCCCAATTTTGCCTCAGCTCAACAGCCAGCGCCCCAGCACCCGGCGCACCCGCCGCCCTATCCGAATCCGCCCCCCGGTACGTCGCCCTTACCAGCTTTAAGCCACCACCACCTGTTGCAGCAACAACTATTGCAGAATCCACATTTTGCCGCCGCTGCCAGGGATAGTACAGCCAATAGTTCGCCAACCGGTAAGCATTCGAATTTTTGTTTTCTATTCTATTTCTTCTTTTCCTTGTACTTATTCGAAGAAACAGTTCTTAGCATTTTGTCCTGGTGTCTTTAGAAAGAAGAGCCTTTCTAATATCTTAATAATTTGATAAAAGAAGCTAGAATTACCTATTTTCAGCTTATAGTTTCCTATTTATTAGCAAATGTGCTTTCACTTCCTTAGCAGATGTTCACTCGCGCAATTATTTCTAGTTATATAATTAGCGTAAATCTTCAGCAGGACATATTCAAGAGAACATTAAAGGAAGTCCTATTTACCCTTATAAAATTATTTTTAGAAATAAGCTGGCATATTTATTTGAATGTTTGGCTATGGTTTCTAAGAACACAATATGTTAATTCTTTTGAACTTTAAGTCATATTCTTCTTGTTTTTCTTTCTGTCATCGGGCTTCTTTTTTTTGTCTTTCTTTCCTGTCTTCGGACTGCCTATTCTTGTCTTTTTTCTTTCCTAGGCAATGAACTATATACTGCACGTGACTGGAACGGACCTAACAGCTGCTTTCAATGTCCATTTTTGAGGCAAATTTTATGGTAGTGAGAACGACAATAAAACGCGTACATGTTTACAAGCAATGGTGGAGTATAATATCGGGTCTTCAAAAAAAAAAAAACAATCAAAGATTACTATGGTTTTTTAAACGTATGTCAATATTTTTTTTCCAATTTTGTCAATGAATTGTAATGTCAAAATGTCATATCAAAAATCCTGATCAATTAAGAAACAATAATGCGACGTACGTTTTCGTAATCAAAGCAATCTTTGATTCGTTTTTTTTTGAAGACCCGTCATATCCACCTAGTCCGCCTACAGCAATGCGTAAGACAAAGACGACCGCCTCTTTTACTCCATTAAAAATTTGCCTCAGGCGTGATAAATGCTGGTGCCATTCCATTTACGTAGTATACATTTCATTGTTCTTAGGTTCCTTTTCTTGTTTCTTGTCTTCAATATTTTCCATGAAGTCTAGCAACATTTTGAATAACTCGCTGCATTTCGGTTGTTTGCTGTCGTATAGGTACCATAGAATAATTTGTATCTTTTTTGAAACTTGATTGTAAACATAAAGTCTGGTGGCGGAATCGAAATTCTTATTCCTTGTCTAATTTTCAATTAGAACACGATGATGGGTTCTAGAAGTATCACTCTGAGGACTTTTTTACCGATGTCTGAACCAGTAATAAAGTCACTACTCTTGTTTAACTCATGGTTTCCTCACTGAAAAAAATGTTAGTAAATTTACAATGGTGTTTAGTAATTTTACATAAAAAAAAGCAAGCAAAATCATGAACATTTCACCAAAATAACTGTAAACTACCAAACTTTTTGCAAAAAGACAGAAAAAAGAGCGATATTACAATTTTTTCTTAAAGCACACGCATAATTTCACAAGGATTTTGTATAAATATTGTAATTTTAGCAATGAAGTTTCTTTTTTACAAATCACATTGTAAAATTAAAATATGAACTTACAAGTCTGTGATTTTAAAAAATAACGATGCATTGAAGCAAAACTTTCTATTATTTAGCATAATTATTTGTAAAATTCTGAAATTATTTGGAAAATTATCAGTGGATAATATTGATTTTTACAACAGTCTTGCTATGAGGCATGCAGGTAATTCAACAGACAACACCAAAGTGGTTGGTGGTGAGTAAATGTGATGTGTTAAGAGTTAAAGATTTAATTTTGATTGATTTAAATTAAGGGTAAGTACCCGTTAATTATTTAAACTTTTTAACCACGTATGAATGCAATTTTTGTGGGTTTAGGTAACAAATGATTAAACTTTACAATTAAAACTATTTTCGGATAGCGTCACCAAACCTTCCCTCCTCTCCTCTTTTTGCTTTATGAGCCCAAGCAAAAGGAGGTGGCAGTTGTGATTTGCATCATCTACCAGTCATGAGTAAACCATTAAACCAGTGAAAATAACGATTATATTAAAAATATGAATTGACAATATTAAAACATATTATAATAAATTTTTCGAGTTGAATATTTATTGTAAAGTTTTGACATTATAGTATTAGGTTAACTTTGTTATGTTATTTATTTAAGTATAGATTTTTATACTTGACCATAGGATGCGCCTCTCTTATTTTTCTTTTGTGATAATGGAGTTTAGACTGTTTTATTTTCGCTTTTGTGTTTCCAGTGTTTATCATAATAAAAGTGTTTTCCATATTATTTGAAAACTATAATTTTCAGGTTTATGGCGTAATAGCTGGGAGATAACAAGAAATTGGAACATCCAGAGACATCATCTATTTGTAAATTTATCCGCACATTGTAAATTTACATGCTTGTAATTTTACAATACATTTTGACAGAAATATTTCAAACTTACAACATTTATGTAGAAATAGTAAATAAAACCACGAATTTTTTGTAAATTTGAAATATAAATTCACAAGTTTTTTTTTTGTAAAAATATTATTTAAAATTACAATCCTTTTGTAAATTTACAGAATTGAAATTACAGAGTTTATGTAATTTTACAATAGCGTTGTAATTTTACTTACAAAATCATTGGTTATTTTTTGCCAGTGATTTTGTAAGTAAATTTACAAAATAATTTTTTCAGTGTATAATAGAACACTGTAGAATTTTCTGGAACTTTTATTTTAAGAAAACCCGTTTGTGAACTTCTTTTCGGTGTCAAATCCTATAATGAATTCACTATTCCAGTTCAAAAAAAAATCACTCTTGTTCCGACTAATTAGTGTAAAATAGGCACAACAAAGAATAATAATATATTGAATAATTAGAAGCTAATTGGATATTATTTTACATTCGGCCCATCCTGACAGATGTTGCGTGCTCGCAACTCAACTTTCAGATGAATCTGAAAGCGGTAGGTCGCCATCTCCATCAGAATCACTCAAAGTGACATCCGAAACACCTCCAGGAGGTATCCAGGGCTTAAGGCGATCAACTGCAATGACATTATCGTACTTTCTGGGAGCACTACGTCCCGAATTCGGCATATCCTTCACTCTATATCTATGGTTTGGAAGGATTTTTGTTATAACCATCGGACCAATATATTTTGGGGATAGTTTTTTATTTTGACCTTCAGTATTTCTGTTCCTTAAGATGAGAACAAGATCGCCTATTTTATAGCTTCTAGCAGGTTTCCTTTTCTTGTCAGATCTTGCCTTCTGTTTGACTTGGTCAATTTGAATTTTTTGAGAAGCTTCGTTCCTGAGGGCTTCAATATCTCTAACCAATGGAGAAAAATCTAGCAGTGAGCATGCTACCATTTTTACTCCTTGGTGTATAACCGGTAATATGTCCCTGTCATAGTCAGTTTCTGGAGGTTTACTTAAAATGTCATGGATCAATCGTATTTTTTCATCCGAAAGCTGAGCCGATAAAACCCAATCTGCTTCTTCGATTCTTAAGACGAAGTTTTCTTCAGGCGGTTCTCCAGATTGGCATGGATTTCTGTTGAGCGCATCAACGTGCTGCATTCGGTTTCCAGGGCGGTATTCGGACGGTGAAAGTGAATTCTTGTAGTTGGAGCCACCAACGAGCGACCCTAGGTATCAGATCTCTCTTGGAACTTGCCATTTTCAAGGCATTGCAGTCGGTCGATATACTCTAAACTTCAGTAAGGTTTCCACGACTGCTAAAGTCTAATTCATACGAAAGATATTTTCGTTCTGCCTTATTCGTATGTCTGCTGTAATAAGCCACTGGGCTAAGACGAGATTCGTGTTGTTGCAATAATATTCCGGCGATACCATCTTGGTTGGCATCTGTGTGAACCTCAGTTGGCAAATTTTGGTCATAAATTGCAAGAATAGGACGTTCAATTAGCTTTTACTTCAGGTCCTCAAATGCTCTATTTTCAGAATCTCCCCAGTTCCAAGTGATATTTTTTCTCCTGAGCGATGTTAAAGGTCTGACAAGTGTGGAATAGTTTTTCACAAATTTTATGAAATAGCCGGTTAATCCCAAAAACTGACGAACTTGCTTGACTCTCTTTGGTGTTGGAAACTGTCGGGTGGCTTTAATTTTGGCAGAATCAGGTCGTACGCCTTCTTTGTCTATCTCAAAGCCTAAATAATTAATTGAGGAGGAGAGAAAGACGCATTTCTTCATATTCAAAGTAAGGTTCTTATTTCTCAAAACATCAAATATTTGTTGGAGACTTTCTAGGTTGTCTTCCGAATTTTTGCTCGGCAATATAACATCATCTAGGTAGACCGCAGCAATATCGCGATAAGGAGCTAATATCCTATACATCTTGCGTTGGAAAACTGCTGGAGCATTGCAAAGTCCAAATGGCATTCTGTTATACTCATATTGTCCCTCTGGTGTTACAAATGATGTTAAGTATTTACTTCCTTCAACTATCGGTATTTGGTGATATCCCGATCGGAGATCCAAACTGGAAAATATGGGACATCCCTTCAATTTGTCAATTTAGTCATCAATTCTGGGCAAGGGAAATCGTTCTTTTATAGTTTTGAGATTAAGTTTTCTGTAGTCAATACACATACGATTCTTTCCATCTTTCTTCTTCACCAAAAGCACTGGGAAGCGTATGAAGAACTTTACTCGCGTATTATTCCAGCTCCTAGCAGTTCGGATACAATGGATCTTGCTTTTTCTTTTTCTGTTTCGGCCATTCTATAAGGTCTGTATGTAAAGGGTTTATCTTCCAGAAGTTTGATTTCCATTCGAGCTGAAGCCGCGTCACCAAGTTTTTCAGTTACAGTTCCGAAATGGCCTCTATATTCCTGAAGAAGGGACGCTAATTTTTTCCTTTTAGAGATGGGTCAGTAGTTCCAATGTTTATATCCTCCTCGTTAATCAATGGCAGATTGTCCAGATCCACACGAAAAACTTGTTCAGACGAATTACTACTGTCTAGTTCACAAGCAATAGCTCTTACTAGTGGATATTTATCACTTAATCTGAGATCTCTTCCAGACAAATTGATTATTG